GCTATTAGGTTACCCGATGAGTAAACTCCTCTTGAAATAATAAATAATTCAAGGTTTTACCCATATTTTAAAGATTGTGTGGGAGCATTAGATGGAACTCATATTCGTGCATCTGTTCCACCTAACATTCAAGGAAGATTTCGTAGTCGTAAAGGGGGAATGATACAGAATGTATTGACTGCCATTACTTTTGATTTGAAATTTGCTTATGTTCTACCTGGTTGGGAAGGCAGTGCACATGATTCTCGTGTTGAGTTAATCGATCGGATGAATCGACCAAGAGGGGTGAATTGGCAATTAAAACTTTGGTGGAAGCTTTGGCAGAAAATTGAAAATATTTGCACAACGATTTAGAGTGGTTCGACTTTCTCAACCAAAGTCTACGTCCACTACCTTAGCTATCCACACTAAGGATTTTCCACAAATTCACTAATTTGTCTTTCTTTTGAGGACAAAGAGTAACCTTACAACTCTCTCAAGAATTATACCCCAAATTCTTGAGAACAATCTCTCTCAAAGAGAAAATTACAAACTTTGCAAACTTACAGAAAAACGTCACAAGGTAAGATGTTTGCACAATTCTACAACAAAGAAAGAACACTCAAAGATGAATACAATTTAGTACAAAGTGTGTTCTTGAAAGCAAAATGAATATTGAAAGGATTTTGACTTGAATTGCTTAAACTTGATGTTTAAGGCTTTCTCTTTTGTTTCTCTAGCTTTTCTTAATCATCAATGGCTCCAAGAACTTGTTTAAATACACCTCAGATCAATTCTAGATGTTGGGGATCTTTGGTGAAGTAAATAGAGCCGTTGTGGTGTGAAATCCACTTCAAAAAGTTGTTGGGAGCGTATGGGTATCGGTACACCTTCATAGGGGTATCGATACTACCTGTATAAAATTCAAATATTTTAAACATTGCAAGACCAAGGGTATCGGCACCTCTAAAGGGGGTATCGATACTTCTATGCAAAGAGGTATTGATACATGTCATGGTATCGGTACCCATTTTGCATTATGTTATTTCTCGGAGTCAAAATCAAATGAGGAGTATCAGTACCTTCTGGCTAGGTATCGGTATCTCTATATATGGGGTATCCATACCTCTTTTGCATTCGATGTTTGAGGGTATCGATACTCGTAAAATAGGTATCGATACCTCCATATTAAAAACTCATTTTTTGACTCGATTATGGTTCGAAATACTTTGTAAAAATTGTTCCAAAAATATTTTAAGTATAAATCACAATTTTTCATTAAGTAAGGAGTAAAAATTAATCTTTGAAAACTTTGAGTAATATTTTTTATATTCAAATAATTGAATTGAATATATAATTTTGAATCGAATATAAAATCTTAAAATTCATTAGCACTTTTTTATATCGAAATATCAAAATGTTTTCTCAACATCTCGTATTTTAACTGGTGTACTTACACGCCCAAGAGGATTTAGTATTCTAGAAGGTAATACGTAGCTTTAATAATAAAAAATAATTAAATTAAATTAAATTCAGAATATATTAAGTAATAATAACATTTTGTTAATTTGTAGGTAAATATTATCTTACTGATGCTGAATATGGCATCCGAAATAGAATTATCTCTCCATATCGTGGTGTTCGGTATCATTTAAAAGAGTTCAACAATCATCGTCCAGAAAATGCAAAGGAACTCTTTAATCTTCGTCATTTATCATTGCAAACCACTGTTGAGCGAGTCTTTGGAATTTTAAAGAAACATTTTCGTGTGTTAGATGCTGAACCATTTTGGGATTTTTAAACACAAATAGATGCAGTGTTGTCTTGTACTATCATTCATAACCATATAATGGGAGTTGATCCTAATGATATAATTAATGAAGAATTATATGAGGAACCTGAGACTTATTCGATAACATCAATTCTTACAAACGACGAGAGAGAGAATAAGCTAGAGAATGAACTACTAAGAGAGATGAAATTACACAAGCTATGTGGAGTGATTATATAAATATAAATATTTAATTTTTTTGAACTTTTTGTTAAGTATTTCTATGTTATGTATGGTGGATATCGTTGTTTTTACTTTGTTGGATATTGAAATTGCTAATGTTTTAAGTTCGTTGGACATTGAAATTTAATCTGTTGGACGTTGACATTTTTATTTTTAGGTTGTTGGTATTATAAATGTTATGTTTTAAGTTTGGTGGACAATAAAATTTATAATGTTGCAAGTTTGTTGGATATTGAGATTATTATGATTAAAGAAATTATTATGGTATTTAAGTTTTTCTTGTTAATTCAAATTGTTATAGAATTTAGTTTTGTATTTTTTTAGTTTGTTATAAATTGAATATTTTTCCAGATATAATAATTATTAAGTTTTTAAATTTTTTGTTACTCGTCTAATTGCTTTTTTTATATGCTTATTAATGTAGCAATGAGCACATCAAAAAAATTTAGGTGGACAAAACCAATGGAACTTTATTTCCTCGAAATACTTGCAGATGAGGAGCAAAAAGGTAATAAGTCATCTAATACATTCAAATCAGTTTCTATAAAACGAGTTGCAACAACTATTTTCGAAAAATTTCAAGTCCAATGTTAGACTAAACACGTGGAAATCATTTAAGGACCGTAAAAATTACATGGAAAACTATATGTACAATTCGTGAAGAAAGTGGATTAGGATGAGACGACAACATGAAAATGATAACCTGTGACGAAGTGACATATAACGCTATAGTAACGGTAGTTTTTATATACTCTTATTTTAATATATGAAAGTTAAATTTTACTTGTTATTCTAATTGTGTATAATATTTAACAGGCACACCCGAAATTTGGACAATTTTTGAACAAAAAATTGATTCTTATGATGAGATGACTATTGTTGTCAGTCAAGATATGACAACAGGGAGTTTTGCTAGAACTTTTATCGATATAGAATTGTATGATGTTAATAAAGGTTCAATGCCGTTAAATTTCGACACTCAAGATGTTGATGAGGAAAAATCAAAATTATCTTCATCTGGTACATCAACACGTAAAAGGAAGAATGTCCAAGAAAATGTCGATGGTGATCATATTCAGTTTGTAGATGAGAAACTTGGTGAGATTGTTGAAGCACTGAAAAACTTTACAGAGGATAAGACACTATATCTTTACGAAGAAGTTATGTCAATAGAGAAATAAGGATTTGGTGACGACTTTCTTTGTGAGGTGTTCGATTTTTTAACGAAGAATGAGCTAGATGCTAGAGCTTTATTGGCTAAAAAAACAAAGCATAGGAAAATTTGGCTTTAAAAGTTTACCCAAGGTTAAGATGTGAACTTTTAAAGTGGTGTAATATTATTTATGACAAACAATATTTTAGCTTTAATGTGTTGTAGTACTAATTATAGACTTCAACAATATTGTTGGTTTGATGTGTCGTAGCACTAATTATGAATTAGACTTTGTATTATTACGGTTAGATAATATTGTTGTTTTAATGTGATGTAGTATTAATTATACACTTTGACACTATTATTATTATTACAATGTTATGTACTATTGTTGTTTTAGTGTGGTGTACTATTAATTATAAACTTTGATAATATTTTTTAATAAATTATCAAGATTATATCAATTAAACCTACATAATATTAATTATACTTTGAAATTTAATTCTAATACTAATGAATAAGCATCATGAAGATTTTAAACCTAAAATAGTGTATTTATAACACAATCAATATAAATTATTAATATTATATGAAAATTTAGTTTGACGTACTTATAAAAAATAAAACACTTAAATTCAAAGTTTTATAAAATATAATTATATAAAAATAAAATTAACTTAATAAAACTAAAAGGTAAACAATAAAAAGATATAAAATATGTATGCTTGTTTATTAAAAATAGTTTCTGAAAATTGTTTTCAAAAAAATTAAGTAAACAGTGTAAAATATTTTACAATGTAGCATCCAAACAATGAAAAATATTTTCCAAAAATATAATTCATTTTCCAGATTTCATTTTTCATAAACTGTTTTCAAAGTCACAAACAGACCCTAAAATTTTTGTTATAAACATTTATTAATGTAATTGGCCGAGAGTCCAATAAAGGTAAATATAATTATTTTTTATGTGATCCACATGTATATTTTATTCAGATATTAATTTTATCAAACCGAGTAAACCAAAATATTAATAATACATTTTTTCTAACAAATATTTAACATTGATACACCCTGATTAAGCATAATAGTTGGTTTAAATTACTTGCAAATTGAATCTATTAAGTGGATTAAATGATAAAATATAATGTTATTATTTTTATTAAATGAATTATAAAGTATTATTTGTTTTAAATATTTTCAATCATTTAAAAATGATTACTTTTAAAAATATCAATCATTCCTTTAACCACTGATGTAATTTGATTCGTGCTATAAGATTCGGATTAAAGTATATATATTAATAATAAATTAAAAAAAATTTAAATATATATTATCTTGTAATAACTTATATGATCCGGGACAGAACCATGTAGGCCCTTAGGGGCCCTAACCCCCAATTTTTTTATCATTAAAAAATATAAGAATAATTATCTATTTAGACATTTAAATTTTTAATTTATTTTGATTTTGCCCCCTTTCCTATTGTTAATTATATTTTACCTTCTTGAACTAAAATCTTGGCTGTGTCCTTACATATGATTAAAAATAATTTGTGAACTCATTAAGTGCCAATTAAAAGAAGTTTTGTTCTATATTGAGATCTTGGGTTTAACTAATTGCATTATCAATGATTAAAAAAACTTGAATATATATCATCTTATAATCGGACTAGATTATTAAAAAATTAATAACAACGTATAAATCCTTGATGATCCTGGCGCAGTGAGTCACACCTGCACCATAAGAAAGTGAGGTACCGACACCTTAAAAAATACTATCTTGATTTTGTGATTTACCCTAGAGAAAGTGAAATTATATATATATAGGTGGGTGAGTGGGGCTTTGAGTGCATTGTTGTAGTTCATCAGTGATGGGAAGGCAGCCATGTTGCGACAAGCTTGGTGTGAAGAAGGGGCCTTGGACCACCGAGGAAGACAAAAAGCTCGTCAATTTCATTCTCACTCACGGCCAGTGCTGCTGGAGTAGCGTCCCCAAGCTCGCCGGCCTCCGCCGCTGCGGAAAAAGCTGTCGACTGCGCTGGACCAATTACCTCCACCCCGACTTGAAGCGAGGCATCCTCAATGATGATGAAGAGCGGCTTGTTATTGATCTCCATGCCCGTCTTGGCAATAGGTTTTTATCAAATTTCCTCCTGCTCTTACATTTTCTATTCATTTGGGCCTCAATTCTTTTTTGGAGCCTTTTTAAGTTATTTCATTAGCAATTATTTAATACCACTACTGATTAGGTTTTTGCACGACAAAATCAGTGGAAATTTGGCCAGGAATTGCATGGCAAATTATTATGTATTTTAAATATTTTTTTATTAAAAATTTATTTATTTTTTAAAAATTTTAAAAGTTTATCTCTCTTAAATTTTTATAAGTTAAACTCTTAACATAAAATTATCATATATTTTAGATATTTTTATAATATTTTATTGATACATATTTTCGTTCTTTGAAATTTTATAAAATCGTTCTTTAAAATTTTATAAGATCATTTTTTAACATAAAATCGTGTGTCATTACTAATGATGATAAGAAAAATATTTCAAGATAGAACTTTTGAAAGAAATGAAGGGTAAACTATGTATTAGTTACCTAACTATTCATGAGATTTCATTTTGGTCACCCAACTATTTTTTTTTTCAAAATCATACCTAAAGTTATATTTTGGTCATCTATCGTTAAAACTTGACAATGATATTGACGTGTCACTATAAAATAATGCCATGTCAAAATTAATTTTTTTTTAAAAAAAAGGTTACCATGTCAATAGTTTTTTTAAACTATTGGTGAACAAATCGTAATTTTAAGTATGATTTTGAAAAAAATAGTTAGGGGTCAAAATAGAATCAAAAGAATAGTAGGTGACTAGGTAATTAGTTTACCTATAAATAAAACATAACGTATATAATAGTATGAAATGCTATTTTTTAGTAACATGATGTTTATGCTTTTCATTATCTTTAGGTGGTCCAAAATTGCAGCAAGGTTACCCGGAAGAACTGATAACGAGATAAAGAACCACTGGAACACCCACATTAAGAAAAAGCTCATTAAGATGGGGATCGATCCCATTACTCATGAGCCTCTCCCCAAACCAGACACCTCACACGAGGCAGCCATCGGAGCTATTAATGATCATCATCACCCCAAAGACTGTGGCAATGTTTCTTCTTCTGCTGCTGCTGAATTTAGCCCTCCGACCGAGAATTCCTCGACCGATGAATCGGTGTCCGGCAACGAGGAATATCCGATGATGAACTTGATATGGTCCGAGGCTTTTCTCAATGATTTGTCGTGGAGCTACGATTCTAGGGGAGAATATGGTGATTTTGGGTTTTCTTCATCCGAGGAAAACACCTTTTCGTGGGTGTTGGATAATCGGAACATCGTCGATGATCATAGGAGTTTCGGATTTGGTGGGTTCAGTGAAATTGACTTCAGTTCCCTTGACACGGGTGGCAAGGTTTAGCATGCACCTAAGCCTCAGTGAACTCGTGTAAAAAAAAACCAAAAAAAGGGTAAACTACCTATTTGATCATGTACTTAGTTTCTATTTTGGTTACTCAAGTATTATATTTTTCTAAATCATATTAACATTATATTTTAGTTTTATTTTGGTCACATGTCATTAAAAAATTAACGGTGATATTGACGTATTATCATAAGATATATAATGTCACATTAGTAATGAAAAATAGTCGTAAAAATGTCACGTCATTATCCATGTTATTTTTTTAACGACAGGTTACTAAAACATAATCAAAGCGTGCGAAAGTATGAATTTTTTTAAAAAAATAGTTAACTAACCAAAATAGATTTCGCACTCTTTTTTTAAAAAAAATAGTTAACTAACCAGAATAGAAATTAAGTAATGAGTAAATGTTCAAATGGGTAATTTACCTGGGAAAAACACAAGTCTTCATTAATGAACCCCTTACCACCTCAAGCTTCATTTCCAGTTAAACTGTTTATCCGTTTGTGAGGATGAAAAATAAAGGAGAAAATAAGTTGAAATTTAAAATTAAATTACTAGTTTTTAACTAAAATTTAAAAAAGCTCTTAACTTTATCATTTTTGTTTGATCTACATAAACCTTTATCATTTTATTTATAATTATATAAATCCTTAGTACAAATGAAATTTTGTTTTTTTTAGGATTTATTTAGGATAAATTATATAGTGTTTGAAATTTAACCTAAAAGATTAAATTGGTTACTAGAATATTATACCACTCAAACTATGTTTTATAAGTTTTAGGATATGAGTTCAAGTTTCATTAATATGAATGCAATTTAATTCAAAAAAAAATATTTTTAATGAATGAGGATTGATTCAAGTGGTAAGCAGCTTGATATCGTTTAAGCAATGTCCCGAGTTCGAGTCTTTGTGTATACAGAAAATCCTTACCTAGAGGCTCACTCACCAAAGCCAAACGTGCGACACAGATGGGTCCAGACTAGTCAAAGTAAAACCTTGAAACAGGGAAGGCAACAAAAAAAAATAATAATAAAATCTTAAGGTTAAAACTGCTCAAAAATATTCCGAGAACAAAATATTAATTATTATGAATGTGTTTGTTTCATGTAATTATATTTTTAGAAAACATTTTTCATTTTTCTTCAATGTCTGGTTGGAATAAATGAATACAATTAACATAAATGATTTTACTGTCAACATAAATAATAATATTTTATATTTACGTTTTTTGAAATTTATTTATTTTTAATAAAATAAACATATGTTAAGATCCTAAGGGATTATTGGACTGATCACATTTTTTTAATAGTTTGAGGTGATTATAAGGTAGTATTTGTTCATAATATTTTTTAGTCTATTGATAATACAAAAATATTCTACAGATACAACTATTCGAATATAAATCTTTTAGAAATAACAATACTCACTTTTACCGCTAATTTTGGTCAATGGATCCACCAATTACACTTGAACTTTTGTAAAGGGAGTGGTGCAGTCATGACAATATCATTTACGAGTTTTTAAGATGGAAAAAAGCAAACTTTAAAGGCAGCCATTGGCTTAACGGCGAAGATAATATTTTTTGTTTTGGGATAATTAACGGCGAAGATAATTGGTAAGTGGGTATGCTGTCACTTTGCCAAAAAAGCAAGGATACTTTGCAACCTCTTCTTCTTCAACATGAAATTTTCAAATTCACAACTTCCTTAATAATTTTAAATCAAAAGCTAAATTATTAAGTCGGGATGAAACATAAATTATAATAAGATATAAGTTACGATTAAATTATTAAGTCGTCAATTTAAAATTTAAAATCAAAAACTAAGATCAAATTTATCTAATTTTAAAACTAAATGAGACCAAAGAAGCATTTGCATAAAAAATGATGCACAAGGCTTTATTTGTCTAGCTTAAAAAATGAAAATACCTAGAAAATATTTAAACTAAAAAAGGGTCAAGTCTTAATTTGCCTTGTTTCAAATATAAATGTACCTAAAAGTTGAGGATCAAAACCTAATTTACCTAATTTTAAAGCTATTAGTTACTTAAAAGTAAATAAATCCTAAGATCATTAGAAACCTTAAAAATAAATAAACCCTAAAAGTTTGGGGCGAGGTTCTGGTATCTTTTGCGACCACGCGGGTAAAAAAATTTAGCTCCTTAGGTAATTTCCAAAATTATTTTAGGATATACGGTAAATACAATAGTCCACGGCAAATTCGTCACTCTCACATGACGATTTTACCCTAATAATATTTTTTTTTGTTTAAACTCGTCAAATTGAAATGACGAGTTCTAATAAAATATAATTTTTTATTAGATTTTGTGACGTCGGAGTGGCAAATTTCAATAAGAATATATATTTGATTAGAACTTGTTATATTCACATGACGAGTTCTAAGCCACTGTAGCAAATGTCGTAATTTTTAAAATAAAAAATTCGATGTCGTATAAATAATTAGCCCGTCTACGATATTGGGCCAATTTTGCCGAGGTTCCTAATCCTCCCAACATATACATGACTAACATGACTAATCCTACATATTCTCATACATTAACTTAATTTTAAAAACTTATAATTAGATTAAAATATTAAAAAGCCTCTCTCTATTTAAACAAGTCCATGTGTAAATTTTTTAATATATATATATATATATTTAATTATTTAATAAAATTGATATATGATTAACATGTAACAATTTGATAAAAAGAAACCCTATAATATTAATTTTATCAAACTTTAATAATTATAGATTATCTAATCAAATTATTTTCCCTTCAAGATATAAATTTAAACCTAAAACATTCTTAAGACCTAATGTTATAAATTCTGTCAAAACTTAATCAATTCACATTATCTATTTCCTTCTAATTTAGGGGGGGAAATATTATGAGGTGCATGAGAGTTTCTTACATTGGAACATACTTTTCTTACTAGACCTCATCGGTGGACCAATATTAATTAAGTCTTGGAAAAGCATCCAAATGAAGAAAATTTATTACATTTTCCCCCCAGTGACCTAACTTTGCAAAATATTTGTTTCATTTATCAATATCTGTCTTGTCTGCCTGTCTAATATTTATGTCTAATTTTCTATAAAAAAAAGTCATATTTATGTCAAATTCATTGAATATCATGAAGATAAGGCCATATCATCCCCACTTAATCAAAATTAAAAATAAATGATCTTACTTACAACTTAATCCATGCCACATTTACGTTGATAATTATCAATGATGTTATTAATCAAATATGATTTCGATTTCTTAATTGTTCCATTGACCATTTATATATATATATATATATATAAATCACTTCAAACAGTTCATATATATGCCTTCTTACCAAACTATGTCTCCACCACCACCATCATAGTTAATCGAGCCTTTTCTTTTCCACCATTTAAAAAGAAACAAAGAAAAAAAAACTCATTAATTATAGGTAGAATAACCTTTTTGTCCCCTCAATTTTATTAATTTAATCATTTTAGTACTTTAACTTTTATTACGTTCCATTTGGTAATGTTTCTTAGACATGATAAGATAAATTGGTATCGATAACATTCATACTAGGGCGAAAATCTTAGCTTTCTAGAGTGGAGTATAGATATTGCGCTCATAGAAAATTGACATTGTTCATTCGGTTTCGATACCCAGCTAATGGTTTCTAAACCAAGACAATTATTCAAACATCGATGTTGAATTTGGTATTGATATTCAAGGGGGGCTCAATAGGTTAATGTCCAATTCAAACGTCAGTCAATTTTTAAATGGAAAAAAGATGAGTTCGGAATATATGAGTAGTTTGGTAATCATTTTGTAACTTTTAATAATCAGGAGACTCAACAAAATAACATCATATAGTCGAGGAATCATTTTATAACTTTTAATAGTCGAGAGACTTAACAAAATAATACCCTATAATTAAAGGATCATTTATGTATTTTACCAAAAAATCTAATATGCACAGTACATTTGTTCGGCTTATATAGCCCAAAGAAAATTAATACATTTTTTCAAACTTAAAAACTACCAAGGGATTGGTTAATACATTTTCCATTTGATATTCAACATGCATATATAATACTTTTAAATGTTGTGTAAACACTTTCTCTCCCACAAAATGTAAATCAAGATTCACATACGTGGATACTCAAAATGTAAATCAAGATTCACGTACGAGGGGAGTATCGATATCGTGTTTATAGGATATCGATAATATTCATTTGTATCCAACCGAGTGATTTTTGAAATTGAGGTAATATTCAAACATCGAGGCTAAATTTAATATTGATACTAAATGTAGACACTCGTTTTTGTCCGGGTTTATATTATTATTATTATTATTATTACTAATACTATTATTAATATTATTATTATTACATTTGCAGGCCCAATTACAACAATTAACCTGAAGCCCAACTTTAGAACAGATTACAAGCATCAACAGCCCAACAGATAATAACACCCCAAGACCCAAATTTGGATCCGAACAATAGACCCGACCCAATTGAATTAGGGTTGTAAAACCCTAAAAACCATCCGTTAAAGCCACCGCCAACTCCAATTAGCCACTTTGTCAACAACAAGATCTTACCCTCACCAACAGTTCGGGCCATCTCAACCGAATTCATCAAGTCACATGCACCAAAGTCAAGCAAAATTAATGATTTCACCTAAACTAGTTAGTATCTTACCAAATACGAAGAAAATCAAGATACATCCATGGAGATTTGGTGAGGATATCAAGCATAAATTAAGGAGATTCGAACAGAACAAAAGGGGGGGCAAACAGAAAACATATACGCATAACAAGAAATATTTTTTCGGGGAAGGGGTATTCGAATAGCAAGCTCTCGGCAATTCAGGTGGATTGGAACAAATTTGTTGTAATCATTTCCCACTTTCAAGAAATCAATACAAAAAGAATGAGCAGTGAGCATTCTTCTTTGATTATTCTACGTTTTTTTTTTGCTTTATTTCTTCCTTTAATTTTAGACTAAATC